AACATACAATAAGAATTCCGGATTTGTTTTCATTCACAACTCAGAGTCGCCGCCTCGAGTAAGATTCTTCTGTGATATCTACAGGCCATATAGATCTATATCTGGTCTCGTTTCACTTTGATTACCCTGTCAAACAAGTCAGCCTTCGCCCCTGGCTTTGGGATTCTTTGCCTGTGTAGTATGAAATAAAAATATAGTTAACTCAGTTTCGCTTTGAGATTCTTTGCCTGTGAAGTATGAAATAAAAATATAGTTAGCTCAGTTTCACTTAAAGATTATATGTCTTCGTAATATGACACATAAATAGCTTAATTTAGCTTTATTTCACATTTTTCGCCTTCATAGTATGAAAACAAATTTTAGTTCGCTAAGTTTTGCTATGAGATTCTTTGCTTTCATGACATGAAACAAAAATAGGGTAAGCTCAGTTTCGATTTAAATTTAAGATTATACGTCTTCGTATAATGACTTATTTATTAATAGCTCAATTTCGCTTTATTTGAGATTCTTCGCATTCATAATGTGAAATATAAATAGTCAGCTCAGTCTCGCTTTAATTGAGGTGTCGTATCGTTTTGGTAGACAAAACCAAAGGGAATTTTCACGGATTTTTAAGGTAAAAACTGGAGCTCCATTTCACCAACCCGCGTCCCGGGAGACGGACGACAAACGGTCGGTCGGTTTCCGGTTTGGTGGACACGGAGCCTTAGTTAAATGGAAAGAAATATTTACGCATTTATTCATGAATGTATTTATTTATTTATCAATTCATCTGTTTATCTATTTATCTATTCAATTATTTATTCATTTATTCATATATATATTTTTCTATTTATGTTTTAAAAAGGCTTAAAAAAAATTATTTTGTTTTGTTTAATTCTCTTAAATCCCACATTTTTCAATCTGATTTTCTCACCAGGGGAGGACGCACGAGCCAGCAGGTACCACGCTGAAGGCATTTTCCTGAACGTGGATCCAAACCCGATCCCCGCCGCGACAAACATCCCGAAACAGCCGTTACAAATACATGATGACTTCGTATCCATGTATCCGTGGATGGCGATCCAGGGTGATGACGTCATGCTGGAATGTTTCGCCTTTGAAACCACGGGTGCTCCTGTGTACTATGGATGGAGACGTATCATGTTCGGGATTGAGTTGCCTCTACCTGCTGGACATAGTATGACTAACAGAAATAGGTCAGTGAGTGGGTGTGGTTTGTGGGTGTGGTTTGTGTGTGTGTGTGTTTGTGTGGTGGGGGTGTTTGTATGTGTGTGTGTGGTGGGGTGTTTGTGTGTGTGTGTTTGTGTATGTGTGTGTGTGTGTGTGTGTGTGCGCGTTTGTGCCTGTGTGTGTGTGTGTGTGTGTGTGTGTGTGTGTTTGTGTATGTGTTTGTGTGTGAGAGTATGTTTGTGTGTGTATTTATTTTGTGGGTATTTTGTGTGTGTGTGTGTGTATGCGTGTTTGTT